TATCCACGACATCACAACTTTCCACAATTGATGAATGTTATAAACCTTCTTAATACTATTCACTCAATGTCACAATCTTGACTTTAAGACTTGTTTTGGAACGAAGTATGATTGACTTCTTGATTTGACCATTTCTTCAATCTTTGATTCCTCTTCTTGGACATACAATTGTACCAAGACTCACTTAGAGGATCAATTGAGATATGGTTCTTAATCATTAAGACCTATCATAAAGCATAAAAGCTACTCTCCCTTCTTCTTAGAATGGAGAAACTCTTATCTTTCTGCCTACTTGATTCTTCTTATTCGTTTTGCTATTGATCTAAACCCTTTAATCAATTCAAAATTACACTTAATCTTGTAAGTGTAATCATATTTACTAAGCCTTTAGCAAATCATGACGAATATCTTTGTTACTCTTATGGTGAACTCGATCAACACACAACTTTGTGTACTCGATCTCCTAGTCCTTCACTTGACACTTTGTCAATGAGTTAGTCTAATTTCCAAATACGTAATTTCTCATTCATCGTGCAACCAAGTTGCATGATTCCAAGTTTCTGTCCAATTGAAACTTGGGCGATGAGAAACTCTCCCTATTTGGTAAATTCTTGACATTCCATAAATAACATAACTAAGAATCATATCCATTCGTTGTAGAAATATGCAAACATCAATTTTCATAACGATTTCATTGCAAGGAAGTAAACAAATAAATAAGTCAAACAAAATTTATTTTATTTATAAAAGCAGCGGAAAAACATTTGTCCTTACAATGCAAAATCTATTGAAAACTATGTAAAAGAAAATTTCTAACAACTCTATCATAACTATCTAAGCTCAAAATCCAATCTTCAAGTCCATGCGATCAAGATCCATCTCTTGTGATTAGATTCATCTTGCTCTCTTATCAAGCTTCCTTTCTTTTCACCGATCCTTCAAAACATTCAAATGCAATCTTATCACATCATGTATTAAGAATCAATGAATAGGAACTTAATGGAGTTAGATAGTGGATTCTTACCTAAAGCGTAGTCATACTTTTGACTCTCCCATCTCTTAGATCTCTTAGGTAAATAGGGCAACTTCGTCTCCAATGCCCCTTCTCTTGGCAATAAAAGCAAATTGACTCTTTTGGAACAACACATGGAACTACTTCAGACATCGCCTTTCTCTTATGATCAAACTTTTCGATCATTGCATGTCTTTCATTGCCATTGTCTATATCCATAGAGGTCTTGAAGGCAGATTCACCAATCAACTTTGCTTTTCTATTGCGCCAAACCATTGTTGTTCAGCAGCAATAAGCATGTAGGTGAGATCTATAAGGGTCACGTCGTGGTCATCATATAGTACTCTCTTGCGAACTCACTACATGAGTTAGGAAGTGACTAAAGAACCCAATCAACAGCCATCGCTTCACCGACAACGGATCCCATCATTCTTAATTTATCAATGTGTGACTTCATCCCTAAGACGTGTGCACACACCGACTTGCCCTCTTTATGTTTACTTGCCAAAAGGGCTTGAGTGATATTGAACTTTTCAATTTTACAATCTTGTGGGTTAGGGAGAATAATTGGAGGAGGAGGAGGAAGTGAAGCATGATTTCTTGTTCCTCGATCGAATCGTGGAATATCATCTTCATGTGGAATGCTTGTTCCACGGGATTTGAGAAGACCATAGTTGTCGAACTTTGACATCGGGAGAAAAACGAATTCAAGTTAGTTGATTGATTGAGTCCTTGGTAAATCACCCAAATGAAATTCCAAGGCTAGGACCCAACACAATATCCTACAACTCGGGAGAGGGATGCCGTAACCCAAATGCAGAACATTTGAAGGTAAGTGAATGACGATTCACTAGTTTCCACCATGAAAAACGAAAAAGAAATTTAAGTTTTAAATCTATGAAAACTCCTAGATCCTTTGAGATTCATTGAACATTTCAATGGCATGTTTAAATCTCGATATGCCCCTCTTGTTTGTGACTGGGATGCCGAGGATCACAAAGCGGGTGTGAATAACCATGCAAACTACATGGTGCCCTCACATGTTACAATCACCTATTCGATGTGCCGGTAAACCACACACGCTCCACCGAACTATGACAAACATTGAGTCACCCTTTGCTACCTTTGCTTAGAACCATTTAGTGTGCCGGTAAACCACACACGCTCCACTAACGTCTTCGCAAGGGCACAAAGTGTAATTTCATGGAATTGCATCAATTCACTTTTGCCTAAGTAACTAAGATTGGGAATTTGAAAAACATTTAGTTACTTTGTATTTCATTATACTTATAATGGAAGGTTTCGTCCTATCCTACCCGTTCGGCTAACGACCCTCCACTAGTCAAGAGTGCGGTGGGTAAGAGTGGATACCCATTCAATCGCCATTTTATAGGCAATTTCCTTAAACACCCCTTATAGACCAGCTTCGTGAATGAGGCCTACTAACGGTAAGACTGACTTTTACTCATACATATATATAATGTTAGACTTTTAATATTATATTAGTATAGGGTGTATTTTATACTTTTAAAATACTATATGGTTAACTTTAACAATTACACTTTTAATTCAATTAAAAGGTTAACCTAAACTTTTATGGATTTATTAAATCTCTTTTAATTATACACCTTAATTAATTAATAAAACCATAAGGGTGTGATTTGAACTTTTCAAAACATTACTAGAGTTTTAGAATTTAACATTTCTAATTAACCTTTTAATCAACTTTAAATTCCAAAACTTGAGGGCAAGTTTTGAAACCTTTTTCAAAACATTAGGGTTTTAACTATTTAAATTTCAAAACAACAAAACTTTTGGGGTTCAAATTTAAACTATAAAACCTAAAGGGATTAATTTGAAACTATTCCAAACTTTGTCAAGAATATTCTAGATCACATAATTCAAATAAGGCAATTAACTATAATTGGTGGTTATCTAATTAGATCTAGTTCAAATTCTTGCAAGATAATGATCAAATAATTTCCATAACTTCACATATATCAAATAAGGTAACAATTATCTAATTAGATGACCAAAATCTTTTATCTTGACAAGGATAATCATAAGGGATTAATAAAATTCGAATTTTATCAAGTTTAAACAATTATGGTAATTATCCTAAGTCATAATAGGTAAAAATCCCGAAAATCCGCCTGTCAGACGAGTTGACTTGTCGAGTCAGCCTTGGACTCGTCGAGTCTGCATGGACTCGGCGAGTTCAGCCATGGACTCGGCGAGTCCATCCTCCAGAATCCAAAAAATCGAATTTTCCAGTTATATCAAGCATCAATACAATAGAAACCAATCTAGGCTCTGATACCACTGATGGGTTTTGGTCATAAGACATCCTATGTGCTCATACAAACCCTAAAGCTTGGATCTAGGTTTCTCTATTGTACATGCTTTGAATCCAAGACTATAAACCCTAATTCTAGCATACATATAATCATATTAACATGAGAATAAGTTTATAGTGTTACCTTGATTGTTATGTAGCAATAACAATCCCAAATCTCCTTGTATTGACTTTGGAAGGCTTAGAGTCACAAGTGTCACTCCTCTAATGGCTTACAAACACCATAAGCAAGAGGATGAAGATGAGAAAGGATGGAGGCTGCCAAAAACGTGTAGAAACCCTTACAAGAAGCTTAGCCACGTTTTTGAGCCTTAAGGGGTCTTTATATAGTTGGGCTATTAGGGTTATCTAACAAGGAAACCCTAATTTGGATGCTTAAGCCCTAAGCAACCCATAGACTCCTTTAATTAAGCCCATGGACGATTTCCTTATGGGTTTCCCATTAGAATTCGTCCATCCCTTAATACAAGGCAATCCATGGCCCAAATTGCAATTATCTTATAATTACAATTCCAGTCCCTTAAGTTTAATTAATCTCTTTTAGTTACAAAACTAATTACCAATTAATTGTTGACTAATATTAATTAAACAATATGATTTCTCCTTTAATATATTATTCCCATAATATATTAATAAATCATATTTAATCCTTACTCTCCATAAATCATCCTATCAAGTTGCTTTGGTGAAGGCAACCCAAAAGGACCATGCACCATCGGGTCAAGTACATACCAAAATAGTTATGGACTTAGACACTAATCCAACAGTTTCTGCAAGAAGTTTTGTTGGGACTGTACTCTGATTTTCAATACTTATGATGTTATGGTTTGAAATACAACATTATGATTTTGTAATGGATGTTTTATTGACAATGTTTTGGTAAAATGTTTGTTAAATGCGTTAATTCAAAAATGAAATTCTTGGCCTTGAAAATTAGGTCATTACAAGTTGGTATCAGAGGCCTGGTTTGAGGGATTGGGACACACCCTCGGGGGTGTCTGGACTCAAACCGAGGGACTAAAATATATTTCATGGAAAAATGGTTTTCTAAAGTCTAAACTGAAAAATTTTAAGAAAGACGAAGTGTGTGATGCGTGCGACCGGCCGGGCTCAAGTAAGTTTTCCCCAAGATACCCATACTTGTTATGTTATGTTATATGGTTTTGATTCAGAGAACTGCATGCTAGAATAAGACTAAGGATCTAGGAGGATGCCTTGTGTGCCTGATATATGATTATGAGAATTGCATGCTAGTTAGGGCTAAGGATCTAGGAAGGATGCCTTATGTGCCTCTTACACCTCGACATTAAAAATGATGATTTATGATCTTTATGAACCTGTTACATTTATAAAAATAACAAGTTGCTTTATATAACCTAAAAAAGATTTCATAAAAAACACAAGGTAACAAAATTTTATAAAAACTTCCAATTTTACTCTCGCTAGTCATACTTGATTCATCAATTGAAGTGAGTGACCATAAATCAAAACCCCATCAGCTAGAACCTGGTCTATAGAAGAAGGCTAAAGAAGGGCAAAAATGGAAATAATTAAAATGTGGTAATAAATAGAAATGAGAAATATATTGCCTGGTCCCTGATTTTAAGAGTTATGACATCACCCACAACGATATCAAAGATTGAAATCTCCACCCTCCTTCATCCTCTTATATCCTAACAATATAATCTTTATTTGTCAACAAAAGTCAAATATGTTTAAATAAATAAAAGTTGTTTAAAAGATAATATCCAGTTATCCACCTCCAATTGTATATTTTGCTTCTCTTCATTTAAGTTCTGAAACTGAAGCGATTGTATATAATCACTTATTGCTACAAAACAGGAAAAAACAATAGTGTGTTATATATATATTTCCTAATACAACAACATTTAGATATAAGTTTGTGTATGTAACAAAAACATTGTTTATTTAATAAAGTACCTGTAACAACTATGACAATTATAACAGCTAAAGCAATGCTTCCACCATCATACCATCCTTCTTTAATCCCCTGAAAGAGATGATACAAGTGAGAAAACATAAAGATATATTTTATAACATTAAAGAAGCTATTTACAACTTTATACTACAAAATATATAAATATGATTCTCTAACCTCTATCTTGATACCTAGTGCTAAAGAAGCAGTAGCTGCTACCATTAAAATGATCAATGTTGTATCGCAACAAGCATCAAACAGAAACCTCTATAACAAAAAGATTTAGATTAAAACATGTTCAGATAATGAATGTCATCAATTTACGTTTAAAGAGAAGTAAAAACATATAATTACCCAAAAACTTCGTCCCTTTTTTCTTGGGTACATGTTTGACCCAAACACATTTTTCCTTTCTAATATGTTTGCCTCATCATCATTAATTCCCTTATCAGGATTCATCTTCAACACCTCTGCCAATCCATTAACCCCACCAAAGTTTTGCAAAGCAGGAAAATCATGGTCTCGTGTCATGGAAGCAACTTGTCTAGGGTTAACATTGCAATTTCTAGTAGGAATAGGATATGGAGGTGATTTGGGGGTTCTTGTTAGCAAGTAGTATGTTAATACCCAATTGAAACATCGAGAAGTCAACGAGAAAAAGAAAAGACACATTACCCTCCATCTTTTAAGGTTGTCGACTGATGCACTTTTAGTTCTAACAATGTCGAACGGATCAGAAACCGGCCCATAGTCGTGGAAACCTATGCCGCTTCCACCACCCGATTCCAAATCCTTCGGGTGTCACTGGTAGGGCGACCCACCACTAATCATTTCCGTAAGAAAACCGGTAAATGTTACAGAAGAGATGACACCGTTCTCGACCACACAATGCTATCAAAAGAAAATAAAAGGACCATATGAGTTTTCAAGATTAAAACACTTTGAAAACAATACACTGAGAATAAACGACTAATGGTTCGTCTATTTATCAAAAAAAAAAAAAAAACCAAACCCGAAAGTCCAATTACAGTGATTCGGAAATATTAGGGTTTCACATCAGAGTTTGTTTCGTCTGAGCAAATGAAGATAAACCTACGAAAAATACTACAAAAATTCGAATCAGAGTATGTTTTGTGTGAGCAGATGAAGGCGTGTTTCCAAAATTTTATATATTAAAATGAAGTTGAGGGATGAATGAGAAGTCGTGTTCCCCTTTTCGCTAAACAGATGAAGAAATAGGACCAAGGCTAGAAGCGCAATTGGACTAGGGTTTGTTGAAGGTCGATCCGTCGGGTGGAGATATAAGGAGAGAGTGAGTGGGGTACTTCAAAATTTTGGGGGATTTCTCCCCTTTAGCTATTAATGAAGGATCAGACTCGCGTTCTTACAACATTGAATGAAGCCAACATAAAACCATGTTTATGGTGGAGGTAGTGGCTGCTAGGTTTTACAGAGAGAAGGAGGGGAGAAAATGAAGGTCATCGACAGGTGGAGAGGAAAGAATGAGCGAGTCTTCCAAAATTTTGGGGATTTTGCTTCCTCCGTGTTTGTCGATATCATTTCCCACCTAAATGGCGTGTTTCATTAAAAAAATTATAAAGCGACACACTTACATGACACACATTTTATGAAAGGCACCCTCCGCATTTTTTTTTTCCTTTTCTGACATTAATTTTAGGGCACCCATAAATGCCTATCCTCTATCCTTAAAATTTTGGAAAACTGACATTAATTTTTAGGGCACACACAAATGCGTTTCCTCTATCAGTGTGTGTCATTGTTTGCGTGTCATTAAAGGCCTGTTTTCTAGTAGTGTAATTGTTTGCATGTGCATGTGTTATATGATATGTGTGTGAAATGTTGTGATTTCATGTTAAAGGTCCATAAACTCGAGATTTTTGTACAAGTCTAAAGTTGATGGAGCTTAGTATTCATTATTTGTTTTCATAATCTAGGTGTTTGTCAAAAATGGAAATAAGTTACTTGGTGTAAATGGATTTTCTTGGTTTGTGTTAAGGATCACCAAAAATATGTCCAAGAATACACTAAAACAAATTTTTTGCAAGAAAACTTGGAAAATGAGAAAATATGTAAACCCCACTCAAAATGGGCTATTTTTCGGCCATAAGGACAAACATGAGCCATTTTTGAACATTTTAGTAAAAATGGGCCGAAAACGGACTCTTTAGTAAAAATGGACAATTTTTAAACATTTTAGTAAAAATGGGCCGTAAATGAACTTTTTAGTAAACATGGGCCATTTATAAACATTTAGTAAAAATGGGCCTCTTATGACAATTTGAGTAAAATTTGGGCCTTATGCGACAATTTTATTTTAATTGTACCTTATATGACAATTTTAGTTAAATTGGGCATTTATGACAATTTCGGTAAAATAGGCTATTTTTTACAACAACGGTAAAACGTGCTATTTTGACACTTATGGTAAAAATGACTATATTTTTATCACTTATGATTTGTAGTTGAAAATATACACTAGTAACATTATTTATAACGTTAAATAATGAAATTCATTATTCTCGTAAATTCTGTTAAGGTTCTTGTGAGACACTCCTTGACTCGTACCTACCTAGTGTACATAGTAAGTCATGTATAACCAGAGTTTCCTGGAGGGAGAGCGGAATATTGTGTATAGATCTATACAGGTTTGACACCCTCACACCTAAGCTTCTCGCTACAGCTAGACAGACCAGTCCAACGTGACAATTATCTTTAGAAACCGATGCCTGAAGAACATCAAGACAGACGCTCTCTTCATATTAGTATGGTTGTAACAACTCACATAGAGAATAACAATATTATATAAAAATTTACGCAATACATATACTCTGCTCATTTTACGAAGTACGAAACTATGCATTGACTTTTTTGCATCTAATTTCACCACTCGGGTCTTAGGATTTAAGACCATAACTTTTTGTATAACAGAAAATATAGGATTTTCTGGGAATCACTCATTATATATATTCTTTCAAACAAGATAAACAAAGAATACACATGCAATTATACATGATTTGAAACGAGACTTACAAACTATTTCTTTACAAGAAAATATTAGATTTTCTGGAGGTTTACAAACTATTACAAAGTTTCTTACAAACATGCTTTTGAACTCACCAACATTTTATGTTGACGATTTTCAAAACGACTTGTATTCTCAGGAACTTAATAAGCAGGTGGGAAGCTAAGGAATTTGGATATTTGTTGTATTTTTGTATTATCATACATTATGTTATTTTGGATGTAGTTCGTAAACAAACACAATGATGTAAACCATATATGTTGATATCGTTAATGTGTGATGATGATGGTTGCTATGTTTCATTCATATTCAATTGTTATGATATTACAAGATGAAGTCACCTGCCCCTGGACATTTCCGTCGTCCTGGTTTGGGGGTGTGACAAGATCTCATGGCATACTGTGATGCTAGTTGTCCTTAAACTAGATAATCATGCATATGTTACTTCATATGTCTTGGTGGTTCTCTGATATCATGGAGAACAAAGAAACCAAGTGTGATGTCAAGATCATATGTATAATCAAAATAAAGAGCAATGGCAAGAACTGTTTGTAAAGTCTTATGGTTAAGGTGGTTACTTTAGGATTTAGATACAAAACAATTGACGGAAACACCATTATTTGTAGTAATGAAGTTGCTCTTCATATTGCAACAAATGTAGTTTATCATGAAAGAACAAAACATATTGAAATGAGTTGTTACTTTGTTTATGAATGAATTAAAGCTCTTAGACTATTCAAATCAAACATCAACAACAAATATTTTGACTAAGACTCTTAGAGCCGAGAGGTTTCTGTTTTACGTGACAAATGAGTGTCATGATCTTAATAGTCCAACTTGAATAGGAGTTTTGAGATGCATGCGTAACTTCATACTGCCTTGTTCACAACTTATAATTATTCTATGTAGTTCTCTATTTAGTTTCCTTATTTAAGTTTCCTAGTTTAGCTAATTAGTTTTGACAAGTCTATTAAAATTCATGGATGTTTACTTTGATTCCATGCTATTCAATAACAGATCTAGTTTATATAAATTTAATAAAAAAGTTATAAATGATTGGGGTTAGACATCATAAAATCATATATAAATGAGCATCAAAAAGATTAAATATAACATTTTCCATCGTAAACCATTTATAGATCATTTATATCTATACATCTTTATGGAGAAAATAATTGCATATATACAATATATGTAGTCTCTTCACCTATATAGAAAGTATGAATGAATGCAAGATGTTAATAATTTATACAAAATTGTATATGCCTTCAAAGCCCTTTTATCTTAAAGTTGTTATACTTATAAAATACACGAATACTACATATTTTGACAAATAATAGATCGTATACATCACCACAAAGCATATATTGGCTATTGGATGTCTTCATCGTTATAAGTATTTGAAATTAAATAAAAATGAGTATCAAAAGAACCCAATAAGGGTTGCAGCACATCTTGTTGCTTGTTTATCCACTATATCTATTTAAAACATTCCTCTTATGTTTTATAAAACAAAACACCCTTATTAGATTCATAATAATCGGTAATAATTGGTTTTTCAAATAAAAAAAACTCATTATTCATCATAAATGCCATTGAACACTTCAAACAAGATGGGTAATCAACCGTGTACAAAAAATATAAAAATTTATCTAAATATGAACAAAATAGATAGATAATGACCCTCCTATGCTATTTTCTTATTAATTTGTCATGTATATGCCATTCGTTAGTCAAGTAAACTATAACCTATGATAGCCGATCACAACACTTTTAACAAGTTTGTTGATCAATTGTATACATAAAAACAAGTTAATGTGAACATAACATATAAATATTACCCTCTTAAAGCATTTTACTTTTTATTTCCAAATTTGTCTTATTTTTATATTATTTTATGTTAGCGAGTGTGTTAGATTCCTTAAAATTGTTGTCATATTGATGGTTTTTATAATATTATTTATGTATTGAATGTGAAAACATGAAACTTATTGGTCCATGCGACTTAGATATAAAATTTCATTGAAATCGAGTAAATGTGATAAAATAAAACAAAAAGCTGCAGGTGAACTTGGATTATACAAAAGAAACACATGGGTGACGTACACTTAGAGCAAGGATAAACAGTAATGAGATTGAAATTTTACTTGGAAGTAATTAAATGCTGAAACAAACATCAAAACATAAATTCTGAAAATCGGATTTTGTAATCGAAACACATGTGTGCAAATGGAAATTATATATAAACATGCTCAATCGAGTAAACTTGAAACACAAAAACAACTTTTACATAAAATAATCTGAAATCTCATAGCATTAACCCATATACAACTTTCCTCAATAATATAAAATGGTTAATGGTTGGTGAGATGAGATTCCAATAATATAAAATGGTTAATGGTTGGTGAGAAAAGTTGTACAAGGGTCAATGCTATGAGATTTCAGATTCACACTGCATTCAGTCTATCCGTTTTGCTCCTTCATCTGCAAATTTCCATCCTTTCCTTCCTCTGAAATCTCTAAACAAATTCTCCTTTTCCATTTCCGGATCTAAATGGCTGAAATCGTTGTTAGTGCTGTCATCACAGTGCTGTGTGAGAAACTGCTCTCTGGTGACTTGATGAAACTGGCTCAATCTGAAGGAATCGATTCTAAGCTGAAGAAATGGAAGAAAACCCTACCCATAATCCAAGCTGTCCTTACTGATGCAGGCCATAAGCAGATAAAAGAGAGAGCTGTTCAATTGTGGCTGAATGATCTCCAAGATTTAGCCTATGACATAGACGATGTACTCGATGATTTGGCAACCGAAGTTGGGTTACGCAAGTTGAATCAAGAATTTCGTGAGAACACCAATACTAATAAGGTATTGAAGTTCTTTGCAAATTGTTATACTAATTTCGGTCCTCCCAACTTTATGTATGGTCGTGAGATGAGCTCTAAGCTGGATGAGATTACAACCAGATTACTTGATCTTGTTGAGGTGAAAACCGGTCTGGGTTTGAACGTGAATTCAAATCTTGAAAGGTCAAATGAAAAACGTTTGGAGCAAACTTCATTGGTTGATGAGTCCAAAATCATAGGTAGGGAAGGCGATAAAGATGTATTGATGGGGAAGTTGTTGGAGAATAGTGAAAATGTAAAGATAGTATCCATAGTTGGTATGGGTGGGATCGGGAAAACCACTCTTGCGAAGGTTTTGTACAACGATGAGAAAGTGATAGAGCACTTTGAACTCATGGCATGGGTTTGTGTTTCAGAAGAATTCAATGTCTTTAATATCTGCAAGGCTATTTTTGATGGTGTAGGTGGGGAGAACAAAAGGTTTTCTACTCTTAATGACCTTCATGTGGCACTCAAAAAAGAAATCAATAAGAAAAGGTTCCTTGTTGTTCTAGACGATGTTTGGAATGAAGACCATAGCAAGTGGGAGCTCCTCCAAATCCCTCTTCAAGGGGGACATGGGAGTAAAATTATGGTCACAGCAAGGAATACCAGGGTTGCATCGGTGATGGATTCTGATGAAAGATACGATCTTGGGCTTTTGTCAAATGAAGATGCTCTATCTTTACTTGCCCAACATGCACTTGGTGAGAAAAACTTTGAGAAACATACAAGCCTTAGATTACATGGTGAGGGTATTGTGAGAAAATGTGGTAGATTGCCTTTGGCTTTGAAATCACTTGGGAGAGTCTTGAAGACAAGTAGAAATGGTGATGAATGGGGAAAGTTGTTGAATAGTGAGATATGGGATATACAAGATGGAAGTGAGATTCTTCCAGCTCTAAGACTAAGCTACTATCATCTCCCTTCGCATTTAAAGCTATTGTTTGCATACTGCTCATTATTTCCCAAAGACTATGTTTTTAGAAAGAATGAGTTAGTCCTGCTATGGATGGCAGAAGGATTTTTGTCTGGATCAAAAGGGAACAAGACAAAGGAGAGTTTAGGTCATGAGTATTTTGAAGAGCTAAAGTCAAGGTCGTTTTTTCAGCATTCAACAAATGACAAATTAGGTTATGCGATGCATGATCTTGTAAATGACTTGGCCACAAGTGTCGCAGGAGAATTTTTCTTTAGGCTAGATGATAACATGGATGTATCAGAGATGAATGAAACTTTTGAGAAGTTTCGACACTTTTCACTTATAGGTTCTGGAGGGAGATCATGTAGAAAGCTCAACGAATTACAAAGAGCCAGATGCTTGCGGACATTCTTATTGTTGTCATTTGGAGAGCAAAGTTACCCATCAGACAAAGTAATCGATAAATTACTTTCTGAACTATCATTCCTAAGAGTGTTAAGATTATCTAAATATGTAATCACAAAGATACCACAATCCATTGGTAGTCTTAAGCATCTGAGGTACCTCAACTTTTCTCATACTGCAATCACATGTTTGCCTGAACAAGTGAGTGACCTTTATAACCTACAAAGCTTATTACTTCATGGGTGTCATCACTTATCTGACTTGCCAGAAAGTTTTGTTAAGTTAATAAACTTGCGACATCTTGACATAAGTGATACCCCAAAGTTGAAGAATATGCCCTTAGGGATTGGTGGATTGACGGGTTTGCAAACTCTAACCAAAGTCATTATTGAAGGAGACAAAAACGGGTTCAAAATATCCGAGCTTAAGGACTTATCGGACCTTGAAGGCGAACTTTCTTTGACTAGTCTTGAAAAAGTGATAAATCCAGAACAAGCAAAGGATGCCAACTTACATCAAAAGAATGGTCTTGATGATTTGCGTATGGAGTGGAGTGATGTATTTGATGATGATTCTCGGAATGAGATGATTGAATATCAAGTACTTGAAGGGTTGAGGCCTCATTATAAGTTGAGAGAACTTGGGATTGTCTTCTACATGGGATCGATGTTCCCTAGTTGGATAACTGATCCCACATTTGATGGGTTAACAGAACTTACCTTACGTGGTTGCAGAAGTAAACATTTACCAACGCTTGGGCAACTACCATCACTTGAAAAATTGTTTGTTAAAGGGATGAATGAGGTGAAGAATGTGGGTTTCGAGTTACTTGCACCTGATGATTCTTTCATTGGCATTGCATTTCCATCGCTTGAGGTTTTGGAATTTGAAGATATGAAAGGTTGGGAGCGATGGACAAGTAGTCGTCATGATGATGCTGAAACAGCTGCTAGATCGTTTCCTTGTCTTCGTGAGATTTCTATAAAAGATTGCTTAAAACTAGCTGAAGTGTCGATTGGCTTGATACCATCACTTCAGGTTTTACACATGAAAGAAGGATCAAAAACAGTGTTGAAACTCGTAGTTGGGAGTTCCCCGAAGTTGGAGGTACGTAAGTGTAAAAACTTGGTATCATTATTAGGAGACAAAGAGGTTAACTTGGGGATTAGCATGGAATGTCTTAAAGAAGTGAAATTTGATAGCTCTAATACACCGGAGAGTTTTAATTGTCCAAATAGTGTTGAAAGTTTGGAAATCCGTGATTGTGATTCGTTGACTTCCTTGACATTCTCAATGGGGCACTCCGACAAAGGTTTTGGTTTTGATCCCTTGTGTTGCCTAACATCTCTAACGTTCATTAGATGCAAGAATCTTAAGTCATTTTGTCATGAGCATTTGGAAAGTCTCCCATCTTTGACTAATTTGCATGTATTTGATTGTCCAAGTATGGATTACTCGTTTCCTTGTGGGTTGTGGCCTCCTAATTTAAGAAATCTGATGATAGGAGGGTTGAAAAAGCCTATGTCGGAGTGGGGACAACAGAATTTTCCATCGTCGCTTGTTGATCTTGGTATAAGTGGCATAAATAATCGAGGAGAAGTTTCATTCGCAGTGGAAGAAAATGTGATGAATACTACTACTACTTCATTACCTTTTATACTTCCTCAGTCCCTAGTTTCGTTATCAAGCTTTGGATTTTATACTCCTGACTCATTCTCGGATGCAGTAGAGCAACTCCCATGCCTTGAAAATCTTATTGTTTGGGATTTCCCATATTTCGATTATGGGGGTCACTTGGCTTCCCGCAAACCACGTTTGAAAATAAGGGTGTTGGGGTATTAATAAAGGTATGTTGTGATGTTGTCTCATTGCCAATCATCCATGTCTCTTACATAGTTATTGCTATTAATTTTAATAATAATCTTATAATTAACGTTTTTTAACAAATGTGCAAGCGGGTTTTTGGATTTATAGGTATTACGTTCCTCCTAGAAAAAACATCATAAATTAATTTAGTTTTTCAATGAAGGCAATATTCTGAGTACGGTATAATTTTTGTATATTTACTATTCAATAATTATCCCAAAGTATTTGTAACATTAATTGTGAGACGTTTTGCTTTTTGGTAAACATCACAAGTGTATGACACAAAAAGACGATTTAGTTTTGCTCATTTGATAAAGTATTTAAGCTCTATTGACATATTCTATAATGCTTCATTAAAAGGGAACTGTGCTGTTTTGTATTGTAGGGAATGAAGTTTTACAAAGTAGGAATTGATTAGAAAGTCTGGTTTAAAGGAAGTTGTGGATTCTGTGGCAAAAGTGGAAAATAGTGGAAACTAAGGACATAAAGTTAGGGCTGGTTTTATACTTCGAAGGTTACCAGAGCACTTACAAGAAAGCTGAGTGACAAAAGTGACTAGTTTTTCATGAAGAAAATATATAATCTCGATTATCTCTTTCATTCGAGAATATTTGAGAGATAAAAGATTGAAATTACAGAGAGAAACAAAGAGTGTGATTACGTTTTTATCAGCTTCATGGTCGATCTGATTCGCTTTATACTTGATACACTAATATGTTTCATGTAGTTGTTGATCTTCTTCATTGTTGATCTGATTATTTTTATAGTTGATACACTAATATATATTCCGAGTAGATCTTCTTAATCTTCAATGTTTGTTTGTTTGCCCATAATTAATACCTTTGTTTTACAGAAATTTTACCCCTTAAACTTCTATGTTTCTACATGAGGATGGCATCAATATCTTTCATGTTTTGTTAGTAACATGTCAAACTTTAGATAGAATTACTAACTGTCTTTTCTCCGTTTTCCTTTTTTTATTTACATATTTGTTCTTCATAAAATTAGTGTTAATGGGATTCATTAATCTCATTTCTCACGACAAAAGATACCAATAAGATAATAAGATAAGAATCATGTTCGAGCGGAAGAAAAAGATTTGAAACAAACTCTAAAGATGGTATCTTTAAGTATAGTTGGTGATCAGTATCATAACGACGATGTAAGTCTACTTTCTAAACTTCTGCAGACTTTTTTACGAATTTATGTACCATCTTTAATGAGTAATGGATCAGATTGTTTATATTTTCAGATGATTTTAGTTCACATGTCCAAGTGTGTAAGTGTGGACTTGGACCGAACCAAGTTGTGGTAATTACACTCACTCTATTGACCGTTAATGAGAAGTCAAATTATTAAGCTTCATATAAACTTCTCTGTAATAGTTGGTTTTGATACTATTCATTAACTTTCTTTCTCTTCTTTGTAGTGTTGTTGGATAATAAAAGCAATGGTATGATTGGTCACAAACCTTCTCCATATGTAAGGATGTCTTCAAATCTTCACCTCTTTTTCGTATAAACTTTCCTCTTGTTAAGTTCAGGAGAGGATTACTTCTGACGGGTGCCAATGGCATCCCACCTCGGAAATGATCAATGTGAAAAATATAAATACTAAAACAGGGGTGATACTATGTTAGTGACTCGCATTATCTAGACATAGTTTCTTTTGAATGTACCTAGCAATATATAACGAGACTAAATGTGTAAAGTCTAAATCCATCCTAAGCCAGGGGTGATACTATGTTGGTGACTCCTATTATGTAGACATAGTTTCTTGTGAACCATAACTTTTCTGCTGGAAATTAGTGTCTAACAGTCACAATAATTGGTAATATAATTATTAATAACAAGGTCATTTTATTTTGGGTTACACCCAAGGGCAATTTAAGCAACAATTGAGAATAGAGAATATTAGGGGATCTAGTTTATAATTTATTAGTGTGTAATAAAATAATAAAAACATGTAGAATTTAAAAAGTTTAAATTGTAAAGATTTGAAAGTCAAATGTTAAGGATAATTATTTAAAGACCAAGTCATTATCCAGTAAGGATTCTACACCCTCCCTTATATATAAAGACCATGTCATTATCCGGTAAGGATTCTAGACCCTCCCCTATATATACAGGTTTCCAAAACCGAATTTAAGACTTATCAATCAACCCTAAATTCGGCTTCCCTCCCCGTATTCTCTAAATCGTGATGTTCCTCTCATCACAACATGACCCTCTCGAGTTCACTGCATGTGTGACGATCAGAAGGGTACTTCGATCTGGATATTTGCATGTAAATGTGTTCATCGGCGAGGGATCTATTTAGTGATTGTTTTGCTGCTCTTTGGGCGCGACTACAAAAGTGGAATTATAGTTTGGATTCTATACATCTGTTGTACTTGCTAGAACAAGGAAATCAAAGGTTGTAAAGGTGTGTGGTCTTTAACCCCTATCTGTTGTTTAGTTCCATTAGATATATTTGAACTTGTGATCTCTCACGAGTTATAGAAATTTTTTATTGCTTTCGTCAGTGGCGGAGACTCATGGAGGCCAGGAGGGTCCATGGCTCCTGCTTTTTTGGTTTCTAATACCTTTAAATATGTTTATTTATTAATTCTAATCAATTCAATGTCTAATTACCCTTCCCATTTTAAGTTTAGTAGCGTGGGTTGAAGATAAGAAATTACAACCAAAAGTCAAAAACTCACACACAGGATCAAAATTAACCTTCTTTCGTTAGGAAATTAAGTAATAAAACTATATAAAAAACAAATATCTAATCTCTTTTACCATTTTTTACATAATCTTAAGAAATCAGTAAACTCTACAAACTTATTGCTGCCGCCGGAAAAGAAATTACCAAACCTCACCAAAAGAGTAACACTGTCGCCGGACTAGCTCGTCTTCTCCGTGAACTCTTTGTCTCCCCTCCGCCGGTCGCCACAGTGATCTCCGTATACTCTCCCTCATCTCCGAGCGGTCGCCAGAGTACTCAACACTAAAACTTGTCGTGTGCTCCGCCTATTGTAACTTTCTCTAGTGTCTCCTCCGCCTAACTAAGCTAAGCTGTATGTAGTATCGTCCCTCTCTTTTTCTCCTCCTTTCTCTCTATCACTATAAATAAAAAATATTGTATATAGTCATCTAGTAAGTGATGTGAAAAGACTAACCTAATAGATGATGATATGAAAAGACTAAACTAAACTGTAAAATCTGCAAGACATTAAGTAAAAGATAGATATTACCTTTTCTTTATTTTGAAAAGTTTGATACCAATAAAAAATATCACTTAAATGTATATTTATAATTTGAGAATGAGAGTGAAATAACTATTATGTATTTTACTTTATTAATACCAAATTCACAGAAAATTAATTATGCATTGATTGTAGATTGATATTTTTGATTTTAGATGAATTTAATATTGTTTTTAAAATAAAATTTTCTATGTTGGTTTTCATCCAGAGTATTCAGGTTTTTTTTTTTTTTTGGTTAAACTATATACGTTATTTGATATTTTATAAAATTTAAGTTAGTTGTTATCAAACTATACATGTTATTTGATATTTTATTTTGTTGTTTGTTAATTATTAGTTAACTTTGCAAGGAAGTATTATTCAACAACATCAAAAAACAATTATTGTTATGGGTTTCTAGGAAGAAAACCTCAAAAACTATTCACAAATGTTTTGGTTGAAAATTTTACATTGCTCTTGAGAATCGATTTGAAAATATTCATCTTGAATTGTTGTAGTTTTAAATCAAATTAAATTTGTTTATGTAGTTATATTTTGAAGTGTTTGATTTCGGACCCCTATTTTTAATGTTCGTGTTCCGCCCCTGGCTTTTGTTGTGCCTATATGGCTTATTAGTATCCCCCAAAACCATCATTAGTATCAAAGCTACTAGTACAAGTTTTTGTTGTTTGATTTCCAATCCATTTTGTTTAATCATGTTTGCATGATGTGGATTGATTAGATCAAGTCACTGAATTTTAAAAAGTTTTAAATTAACGATTTTAATCACCGACAATCGAATTAGGGTTGAGAAGCAGAAATAATTTCTTCCTTAGGATCGCGACGCGTTGCCTCTATGCTTAGTATGTGTCGACGGGAAAACCTGATAACCCTAATTCTTGGTCACAACATGAAGCATAATGGTTCGCGATGCGTCTTGCATTGTTCATAGAATCCGAAACTTTTTTTCATTACTGAGTGTGTTGATCACTAAATGCTTTGACTCTGAAAAATTAATCATGCAAATATGAAAGCTTATAAATATTATTTATCATGTTCATTGTTAATTTTAGATTGTCTAAATCTAATTGTTACAATAACTATAAGAAATAGTTTTTAGATGATCTTTTGCATGTGAAATCATAGAAACATTTGTATGTGAAGTTGTTTTCAACTTTATAGCTACTAATTTAATCTGAAAGTTGTAATTCATGTTCAAAATAATTGTTAATTATAAATTGTATCGATCTGATACTATAAGCTTTAACATGACATATTTGTTAATTGTATGTATTGGTTTGGTTTAAGTGTGATGTTGTTTTCTATTATGTAATATGTAAGTTTTGAATTTAAATTGTAATAGTTAGTTAATAAAATTGTATTAGAATAGAATAAATGAAATATACTGAAGACCAGAGAGGATCTAGGAGTTTCGAGTCTCATGGAGTTCAAGCAAGCATCAAGAGTTGGTGGATCGATGAGTAGGAGCTTTGAAGTGTCCTTTATATCCTTAGTATGACAATGTCTTCCATTTGATGACTTACAAGGAGACAGATAGGATCAAAGTTGGTGGTATCGTTATTTGTTTGTTTTTCGTGAATATTTATTTTATTACTGATTTAAAATGTGAAACATGTAATTGTTAAAAGTTAACAAGAAAATTAAGCTTTCATAAAAGTAATAAAATTGGCGTAAAGTTGAATAATTTCAAAAGATTGTTATAGAGTTTTAACTAAATAAGAACACAAAAACCCATTTTATAAAAATGCAAATCACATGTTACGCATGAAAAACACACACTTCTATATAATTTGTTGGCATGAGGAAGTGCTTGTAGCCAATTGGTGAATCTGCTTCCCAATTAATGTGTAACATCCCCAAATTTTGAGGCCAAATATTTCATTTTTAATTAAGAGATTCATAACATAGTTTACCAAACATTTCCAATGTCATAAAAATTTATAAAAAAAACATAACGTGTCTGAAAACCATATCATCAAAAGTAATGAAAATCAGAGTAGAATCCCAGAAAACTCTATGCGGAAACCATATGTGTGTGTGTGATGTGCTGCTACACCACTGACTCTTTCCCTTTAGACGAAGATGTATCTGAAACCAAAACTGAAACTGTAAGCACAAAGCTTAGTGAGTTCCCCCATCATACCATATACCATACAATCACGCAGCATGCATACTGTCGGGCAATTCTGGGGTGCCCGACTTACCCATGTCAAACCATTATGGGGTGCTGACCTACCCATGTCAAGCCATTATGGGGTGCTGACCTACCCATGTCGGGCCGTTCTGGGGTGCCGACTACCCTCCGGTCTATCTCAACCGGCAACGGGGATTATCTCACCCCTACCTCTATCATACAAAAACAAATATAATCATACGATCATGCATATCTAGGGTACCGACCTATCCTTCGGTCCTAACGACTGAGTCAGAGAAAAACTACTCCCTGCTACTACCACTAACTCATATAGCACATCACATAAGCATGTCTCATAAGCATATCACATAAGCATATCTCATAAGCATATCACATAAGCATATCTCATAAGCATATCACATAAGCATACCAAGATAACTATCACAAAGACAATTATCTATCAATTACTCATGTTGGTAGGCTGACATTGTGGCCTTAGACCCACCCATACTGGAAGGTAACTTACCTCGATTTCGTGTAGTGTTTGTATTGTCCTTGGTGTGAAAGTCGGCTCTCCTCGACTCCTCAATCCCTACATGACAACCCCGCTAAGTTATCAATTTGTACTCACAACCCCTACAAGGGTCAACTTGAATCCAAGTCAAAGTC